CTCCTAGTAGTGAGGCCAGGAGCCCCGTTCGTAGCGTCCTTGCTCCTGGTAGTGAGGCCAGGAAGCCCCTAGTAGCTTTCTAATTGAGTGTTTCTTCAGTTGGTGATGGTTGAGTGAGGAGTGAACAAGTCAGCAAGACCAAGAAACGATCCCCTCACGTCCTTCCGCCCGCGTCCTTCCGTGTCCTTCCGTCGTCCGTCTGAGGCTTGGACCTCTACGGAGAGCGCCAAGTTCCAAGAGCTCTGCGCGCGCTTCGATGAGGTCGCTGAAGTCACGGTGCGAGGTCGCGCGTACGGTAGACGTCGACGTAGATCACGACGGTAGACGCGTCGAGCGGTCGAGCGGTCGTCATGTTGCAACGGAGCAAGAAGGAACAAGAGCATCCAGACGCCATTGACAACCCAAGTAGAAGCAAGGGCCAATTTTTGAGATGCGAGCAACACCAAGCTCAGTGTGAAAACGCATCCACCCAGCTTTTACACCCAAGTCTTGTGCTTCAATCACTCGTTGATCAAGATGTTCACTACTTGGACCTAGAGCGCTAGGTCTTTCCACAGCGAAGCTGATTTGCATGAGAGCGGAGGTTGTAGCGGTCAATGGGGGGAACTGGGGAACTGCTATAACGGGCCGACCGAGTGCCGCACAAGATTTGACCAAGACCCAGACGACCGCCTCAACTGCAGAAGTCTCACGCAGTTTCACCCGGATCCAGCGGGTTCATTGGTTCGCTAGTGTGTCAGACGTGTTACCGAAAGTGGTTGCTTGCATCACCAGCAAAAAATATATCAAGTCAAAGAACATGCTGGAGGTTCAAGACACTGTTATAAATTTAGTGTTAAGGAACAACTGTATGTTTTGTTTCTTGTTGGACCTACCTACGACAGTCTTTAGTTATCGACAGTCTCTAGCTACGATCACATGAGGCAGAAGTAGGCTAGATGATCCACAAGACAGTTTATCCATTTGGGCGATTGCCGCTTCCGGGCCAAAACAGGGCGATCAGACGCGATCAGTCTTTTGGCGATGTATTTGGCACCTGTTGGACACGGGTCTTCCTTTGCACAAAGACAGTCTTGATACGTATGCTTCTTTACAAAACCATAGTAGCAGGATTGGGCAGGATGAACATCCATGCAGCCAAGTTGCGATACAGGCGATCCACACACATGGTCACATGGTCATGGGTTGTTGTGATGGTCCTGGCGATCCGCGACTGGTCCTGGCTCTGAGCTCATTGCACACGGAGCCAAGGAGGCTGGATTTGCTTTGCTTTAGCCGCAGTCGAACGATGAACTCCAGCATGATTTGCTCACAGCTGTGGTGAAAAATCTAGGCCTCTACTTTGTAAAGGAAAAGCGAACACTTCGAATCTCAGTGGGTGGCTTCTTACCCATCCTATTGTTGACCGAAGAAATGCTTCGTTCCACTACACATCGAGGAAGTGCCTTATATAGTACCTTCGTGGAACCTGTTTTGGTGAAGGGCGAAAGGGCAGAAGGAGCGTCAAACATCCCAAAGGGCAGAACGAGCAGTAGATTGAAACAGATGGATCCGGCAGTGAAGGCTGCCTCTGGTGACAAATCTGAAGCTTGACAACTGGTGGCAAACTGGTATGAAGAAATCGGCCCACCGAACCCGAACCCTAGGCGAACCGGAAGCGTGTGAACGGATCACTTTATGTTTGCATGTTTTAGGGTGTTTGGCAAAGAACATGGATGCGCTGGGTGGTCACACGCCACAGCTGACGCCAGGGTGAAAGGTCCACGATGGCTGACGGCGGAGAAGAGGTCGAACCCAAGTATGAGTGCTGCTGCCATGCTTAACAGATGTGAATCTTCATTTTGCCTCGGTGGACCTACCTGGTGTCATCCCCATTTTTTGATCCATCCCCATTTAGAAGCTCTGGATTTGGTTCAGGTCTGAGGGACAGAGGGAGCGCTGGAACCCTCCTGTCACGATTGGATGGGGTCTCCCGGACGGTCCGCGTCGGTCCGTGAGACCTGCGGGGCGAAGGACCTGGTGAGTTCGAACGGTTCGGGTGGATTCTAGTTTCAAGTGCCACGCTAGTAGTAACAGGTGCCTTACTAGTAGTAACAAGAAGCTATTAGAATTAAATTAAAATAGAGTAAATTAAAATTCTAATTTATATATTGTTACTAGTAGCGTCCTTGTTACTACTAGTAAGGCACTTGTTACTAGAAGCGATGAGATCGAACGGTTCGTGTGGATGACAGGCTCTATGTCAGGGGCTCCACAGAACCTCGTGAGGCGCGCGCTCAGCGGAAGCGAGTCCGGAGTGGTCGTCAGTCAGACCGCTCCAGGGTGACGACCGCTCCGGGAGTTTCCGAGCCCAGCACGGACGACTTCTTGTGACAGGCATGCTGTTCAAGTGGTCCGAAACAACAAGCAACCTGTGAGTCCTGTGTGAGGCAGGTCTTTTGTTCTGGTCAGTTTATCGTTTATCTGGTCTCTCGTAGAGTTCTACAGAGTCAGAATCACAACAATTCAAATCAATTCATCAGAGTAGTTTCAAGTTAGAATATCCATGGGCACAGAATCAGAGAAACTGTGATTACCCCGCCGCGAGGGGGGCTCGCAGACGTTCTGTGGCCAAGGTGGGGGGGCTCTGTGCGAAGGGAAACGAAGCCTCCTGGCCATCCTCCTGGCCATCCTGGAAGCCCATCCAGCCTTGCGAGACCCCAAAAACACCGATTGAGATTATGGCTTTCAGATGAGAAGTTGGAACCAGGCGCAGATCGATGTATCAGGAAGGATTCGGAAGGATGGATTGCTTTGCGTGGAGGTTGAGTATCAGAAGGGGACAGAGTGGGGGGAGGAAAAGGAGTGATAGTATTCTGCAGTCGCTCTAGCACTTTCAATGTTTACGCTCAGCGCTCAAGATGTGCGGCCACATGCGGCCACACCGCAGCACGGAACGAAGATCCAATCTAAATCTAAGCCTCAGCTCATTAGATCTTCAGAGTCCAACATGCAGATCTACTCTGATGTCCAAAGTTCAGCCGATCCCCACCTCCATGTGTCGCATCTCGACGGGAGCGTGAGAGCTTCTCACTGGAACCGTTCCTGTTTCCGGTCCGAGGAAAGGCCATGTACCTGAACGGCGACACCTACGATGGCACCTATGTGGAAGGTCTCCGAGCAGGACCGGACCGGACCGTCTGCCTGTCCGAAACGAGCTCAACGGCAGAGGGTCTGTCCAGATTGGGTGTGTAGCTCAAAGAGGGAGACCTCCCAGGCAAGGACCCCAATGAAGAAGGAAAATAGACCAAACACCCATTGGTTGGGGCCAAGTCGTTGAAACGAGCTGCTTTCGACTTTGGATACGGCCTGACGGTCCCAAAGCGGAGAAACTGGGAAACAGTTTGAGCTGCAGCAGTTGACAGGAAAAGGCATTTATACCTTCAAAAAGTTCGGTGACTCCTACGAAGGTCCGCGCCCAATTACGAGCCAGTCCTCGACACACCTGCACTGAAATATTAATACTATATGCATGACGTAAATGTAAGGCAAGAACAAACGGCCAACGTGGTAGTACACGTGCTGCTGCTACTCCACTTTGAGCATTGTGTCGTTTGAACTTCCTCAGCAATTGACTGAACAGCTGAGCGAATTTCAGAGCTGGAATACGAGGCAAATACGAGGAGAATAGGAAGCATGGATTCGGCAAGATGATCTACAGGCTCCTCCAGCAACTGTGACATTTTCACACTTTTCTTTTGTTTCGGTTTGTTTCCTTTTGCAAGTTTTTTTTTCTATTGCTTTTGAAACGGCATCCCGATCGGGATGGGATCCTGTGAGCAGGAACAACATCTCAGAGGACTTCTCGACCTGCACCTGATACCTACACCATTTGGAAGCAGAGATTCATTTGCTTGCTGCTCATTGCTGGTTCTTCTCATGGACATGTCATGAGACAGCAGCTGCCACAGTTGCTTTTTTTCAATGAATTTGTGCCATTGAGACTCACTCAAAGGGTCGTTCGAGCACACAAAACTTGACGAAGCATTCATGCAGGAAGAGGACCCTCCAGACGAAAATGCTCCACCACGAGGAGGCTCAAGTTAGGGACATCACTCTAATTGGGCTCAAGTTCAGGGAGTGTTGTTGAGATATTTTCCACGATATCCTGGGTACTTGTATCAAAGTAGGAAGACCCGCCAGTACGATGCCTGGGTTTTTGGTAAGATGCCTGGTCTGGGAAGCTGGTATGAACCTGGAATGATGTTCCGATGTTCCTTCCAAAAAGCGGTTGACCATCTGAGAGGTGTGTCCTTGTTCGCGCACCAGTGGACGTCTGAAAATCCGACCGATCTACTGGAGTGATCCATTCGAAAGAAATCTGTTGGAGCAGAGGTGGTAGGGCCGGGAGCATCTCTTGTGAATCTCAGGAACATGTTTTTGAAGTCTAATCTCAAGTATCTCAGGAATCTAGACAAAATTCTACTCTGCTCCACATTCTTGCTCATCCAGGTAGCTACCTTGGCAACTTCACTGCGGGCCTTCGGGGCTGTGCGGCGAACGTCAACCCAGATGAGGCGCGAAAGCACACCCTTGAAAGCACATTAAGGTGCTTCGGAAGTAAAGGGCTTTTGCAACACCCCCCTGACGGTGAGTCTGTTTTATTTCGCCAAGACTCAATGGTTCGTCTATAGTTCTATAGAATGTGCCCGCGCTCCAAGAAAGAACAGCTCTCCTTTTCTTGCGAAGTGTGGGTGGGGTAGCAGTTGGATCAAGGTTGTCAAGAAATTCAGCATGCCCCAGTACGACGGAAGGAACCCGAGCAGTTTTTTTCCAGTTTTGTTCTTGTGCGAAGTTGTGCAAAGCAACACCGAACAACATTGAACCAATAACCAATTTGTGGAAGCCCGAAAGAAAGCTTCTCTCAATAGGAACATGAACTCTGTCAGCTCATGTGGCACAAAAACAACACACGTGGCATTGCTAGACACATAGTGCGTCAATCGTCGGGTTGTCTTGATCTCCACAGTCCACTCACAACCGATGTCATAACAGAGACAAACATAGTGAAACATCTTGCCAATGACTCCAACTTCAAAAAGAAATAAGACAATCATCGAGACGCCCTGTCTGTGCGACGCCTTGCTTTTTTTTGTTGTAACGTTCGACAGGCTCACGTAGAGCAACTTTTGTGTTGTGAGGCACCTTCGGAAGGCACCTTCACATATGTGAATGGGGATGATCCTTGGACCGCACAGAATTGGTCGCGCCATGCGCCGCCAAATGCGCCATTGTGTGTTTTTTTAGCCCGGCTCGCCGGAGTTGAAGCAAGAGACGAGGAAAGAGACGAGCATGTGTTAATTTTAGCAGTTTCTCATGGGACATTGATATCATCAGATTGGTTTTGTGCCAGAACCAGGTGGTGATGGTTTACTGCGGGACAGCCTTGTTTCTTTTCAGCCAGCGACTAGGTCTATGCGGGTCAGTGGCGAGAAGGAAAGAAGCAGGGCAAAGGTACTTACACGCTGGGGACCCTGAAGTAGAGCTGGAGTCCGGAAGCTTTCGATGTTCATTTCCAGTCTTGTAAAATGGGATCCAGCAGCTTGGCATCAATTCCAGAAACAACAGAGGCACAAGAGCCTGCGCTATCGCAGAATGCACATGTATGACAATAGCGGGTGAAAGACGCCACAGGACCTGACTGGTTAAGTTCATGTTCCTTCTTCACGACCATTGCTAAGTGTAATCGCTCCTTTTTCTTGTTTCGCCAAATGACCCCTCGGTCCGCAGGATGAAACGGGGCCAAGCAATGTTCTTCCCATGAGGTTTGCGAAGGATGGAACGCAGCTGATTGGAGAATGGGAAGAAGGGAAGATCACCAGCGGAAAGCATCTGAGCGGCACTGGTGACCAGTGGAAAGCAGCTGGTTCTTTAGGAAGAAGACGTGACCTCAGACATGGTCCGAGTTCTGGAATTGTGGTATAATTACGGATGTCTACGGGCTGCACTACTAATGAGCATACATATATAATTACATCAGATAAGTCAGTGAGCGAACCATCATGAACAGCTTGATATATTCATATGACCATATTGCAATGTTGTCGTCTTGGATTCCGAGTGTTCACTTGATGTGTATGTTGCAGAACCATGCGCTTCTATGTGGTCCTTTTGGCAAATGTTCTTTCCACCCCATGCTTCTAGGAGCTAAAGCACTCTCAGTTGTTCAGAGCCTCAAGGCTCCACCGAGTCAGGTGGGTCTTTCCCAATGGCACCTTCTACTGTGGCAAGTTCAGGCAGGCAGTTGAGCAATTCATCCCCTGGTCTACCCCCGCTCTCCAATTCAAGTCCGCCGTCCCGCACGGTTGTTGAAGCGCACAGGATCTGGGATTGAAAGCCCTGGTCCACAGTGATTGTCTACTCATCGATTCGACTGGACTTGCCTCATCCGCAGGGGAGCGAAGAAGTCGGCCAGGTACAACAAGCCCTTTGGGAAAGGTGTTTGGGTCTTCAAGAATGGCAATCAGCTCACGGGGGATTACGTGCAGAAGGCTGTGGCCGACGTGTCCCATGTCTGACCTGGAAGCCTGCAAAACGTGGGAACGGCCCACGTATAATGTGTACAAATGTATGTGCCAGTATGTTTTCTGGACCTGAAAAGAGTCTCTCTGTCAACACCAGGCCTGAGATGTTGCTCCACATTGACCTTCACGCAAATTGAGAATTGAGATGTTTGCAACTCGAGTCTGAGATGGAGTGTGGTAAGTCAAAGAGATCAAGTAACTAGCTTTCAAGTTCATGGTTTTGGACTTATGATACTATGATTTTTTGCTGCCTACTGTGAAGTCCGCACTCACCACAATACTATCAAAGCCGCTGTTCAAGAACCTGTTTGTAAAAAGATCTCTCTCAGTTGCCAAGAGGAACAGCCGACTGAAGAAGAGCCACCAGATGACGAGGCCAAACCACTGTGCTTCCTGCAAAACTGAGAAGAGTTGCTGATTCGGGCTGATTCGGGGCGGGGCATCAAGAAGAATGTCATCTGGCATGTTGATTGCTGGCTGCTGCGCCCAGCTGGACTTCGAACCAACCTTGGCACTCAGATAGGGGTCCGACTCCAGATTTCAAACAACTGCAAGCCAGCAGTCTATCTTTTGTATTGTTTCTATTGCTATACTGTACAGTATATTATATATATATCCTTTGACGCTTTCTGTGCACTTGTGCAGACCGCTCCACGACCTGATCCCAAGGCGCGTGGAACATTTGGAGAAACCGATGTTAGCGGGGGGTGGGGAAATATGTCTTGGTCTTTTGAAACTTTGACTAACGATTGCATAGAGCTTGGCGGTCACACGGCCATAGATAAATTTATTGTGGAGGCAGACATTGATGGCGACAAACGGATGAAGCTGCTAGCATGCATGGCATGGACAAGACTTGTTGGGCTGATGTGAAGGTTTGGTGCCAGTTCAAGCCGAAAGCTAGCGTGGCAGTTCGTGGTGGCTCCATGTCACGGCCTTGGGATCAGAGATTGATATATACCAGTATACCAGCCACCTTTTCGTTTGCATGAAAGGCTTGGTGTGAACAGGAACCTAGAGACCTAGACCTTTAGGGAGGATGTCACGACCGTAGTTTGCGACGGCATTCCTCGGCCGAATATACTCAATGGCCATCAGCGTTGTTCAACTGGTCAATTTGGACCTGAAATGCACCTGGTCTCATTCGTGTGTTGCGACAAATGACTCTCACCTCATCGAAAACCCGACGTCAGATCATTTGACTCCTTCAACCTCACCTTTCAGGACCTTTCAGCTTATTCTGGATTAACAGCGCTGTCTTTTTTGAGCCACGAGAAATGTTCAGATCTGGCTTTTTCGCACCCCCCGAGTGGGGCGGCGGACGAGACAACATTCAAAATTCTGGGAAACATCGGGAAACAGAGCAATCCCTTCGAACACGCTGTTCAGGATGACCTTGGATGCGAGAAATTTATCAAATTCAACCCTTGATTGAAAATGATGACCTCAAGGTTTTGGCCTTTTGTTTGGTCACTGGCATGCTGGACCGAAACCAGGACACAAACGCCTGAGTCCACATAGGCCTGCTTCTGCCCGACAAGGCATCACACAGACAAAGAAACCTTTGTGCTACACACTGACCAGCACGGACAAAGCACTGCATTTGTTCCAAAATGCGTCGTTGGATTCAATAAGAACAATCACCATAGACACAGGGTGGGCACATGCATGCAAGATATGATTCTTCATTCATTTAGTGACAGTGTGGAGGCACTGCAACAGAGAAGACATAACACCGGAGCCAATGTTTTGGTGACAGTTCCATTTGTCACTGGTAACATACCACGACAGTACATCAAACGCACATGTAATGTACATATGACTATGACCCCATTTCTGGATGGAGCATGCCTTGTTTAAAACATTACCACCTTCAGTAAAGTTTGGTCAAGCACGCCTCCGCGCAGCTTCGATGTCACCCACTGTGATACATACAAATGTTCTTCTTAATCTACAAAAAGCTACATGCAGTGACCATAAAACAAGCAGCCGTGGGCCCGACACGCCCGACACGGTACCTCTCCTGACTCAGGTTTGGCTCCTAAGCAGAAGCATCGTGGCGTCTCAGGATTCAGCACTATGCTGAAGCGGCGTGAAGCTCGCTACACACTACACCCCGACACCGCAACACGGCTACACCCGTCCTTTCCTTTTGCAGCAATGCTTAGGCTTCATGCATATTTACCCATCATGATGGATGTGATGTGACTTCTCTTTTTTAGCATGGGAGATGTGTGGTTTGGTAGTCGTCCGATATGAAGAGAGGTGTCTTGTCTTATGGTCAACAGCAGCGGTTTCAAGCCCCTGTTGGAATCAGTCATTTTTTGAGCGTAGACAGTCCACAATTTTCAACATATCTCATGCATGGTTGTTTGAATGACATAGCCGCTGGAAGACCTTGTCCCATGAAGAAGCAAAGATCCATGACAACTACCAAAGATTTCAACTGTGGTGTCTTCACTTCTGTTGTTGATTTCCAGTCACAGCTTTCAACAGCCTGTGTTTGCAGGAACTATCTGAGCTGAATATGGTATCACGATCAAATGCCCAAGCTGGTATCTAAAGACTATTAGGTGTCACCAAGTTGCAAGGCATTGCCAAATTTACAGGGATGAATGATTTCCCGAAGCCAAAGGGCATGTCTCACTGTCCCTGTTTCACTTCTGAATCCGCCGGACTGACCAGACCTTCAGAAAAATGAGACATCTCGAAAGAAGGGCGTGATGTAGGGACTGGTACAATCGGGTTGCGGCCCCTGTGCCACTGACCCCTATTTAATTATGAGTAGGCGGGACGAACATGAGACCCGAAGCAAAAAGACACAGGGACTGGCTGAGATCGGGTCTGGAATGGCCCCCCAAAGTAGGACGGGACAATCAAGAACCAGCGGGCAGAGACAATGTGATGTTAGTGCAGTTGCGTAATCCAATATGAGTTGTGAGTTACGTGATCATATATTCTGAAAAACTGAAATTAAATACATATGTACCTATACGTTGAAATCTCACACTACGCTCCATGGCTCCCCGAACCGTCCCCCGCGGGTCGGCGAAAAAAGAACGGGGCTGAGATCAACTGAGCTCGCAAGGAAACGCTTTTCTGATGCCTTGTTGATAACAGATGATAACAGAACCCTCCAAAATTCTTGAGTGAACAACTGTTAATGTGTTGCCAGTCCATGCCTGGGAGGGTTGGTCATGCTTTCCAATACTCGGTGGTGATTTTGTAACGGTCGGTAAACAAGAACATCACTATTTTTGAACAAGGCCTTTACTCACCGTTACTGACCATCATCATCCACTGTTCAGGTTCTGAGAGCCTTTCTGGTGTGGGGTTGAGGAAGCCGGTCGTCGCGAGTATGTCCGTTCTCTGGAATTGCACCTTGAGGGGGACACTGTTTGGTTGCCATCCGTTCTGCTTGCTGCCCTACTCGAAGGTATCGGTCTGTGATACACTTTTGCACGTTTGTTTGCCCCGCAGCACGTGTGATTCACCGGTCCAGCGACACGTTCAGCATGTGATTAGGATGCCAGTGCTCCAGGCCGCAACATGCCCATGCCGCCTTTGTTGCAATTCTATTGGCTCTCCGTCATTGCGGCCACATCGGCTTTCAATGTTTCGGTGAAGGGCTTTGGGCCACCACGGCATTTCGTCCCTGCCTCCAGAGACTTGTCGTCGGAGTTGGAACATGTGGCAAGCAAATTCAGGCTCTTGAGTTGGAACATTCTGGCACCCACGTGGGACAATTTAGGCGTCAAAGAATCCAACTGGCAAGCCAGGTTTGCTCGCATCGTGCAAGAGATTCGTTTGCGGAGGCCGGACGTCATGGTTTTGCAAGAGGTGGAGGTGTTGATCTACGATGAGCAAGTACAGCCCTTCATGAAAGCTCGTGGTTACCAGGGTGTATACACAGGGATAGATGCTGGAATCGGGCTGGCGGTGTTCTGGCGCACGTCCAAATTTGCGTTGAGCACCGCTACGGATTTTGACCTGACCACAACAGCCTTAACTCCTTGGCGTTCACTCTTCAACGAAGACTTCAATAAGGAGCAGCGAGAAACTTGGAGATGTCAACCCAGTGCTTTTGCTTTCCACTTGACTTCGTCAAATGGACACAGTGGACACAAATGTTGGGATGGTGGACACATCAGCATCACCACTTGGAGTTGGAACGGCTTCTTCATGTTTTCCCCCCAAACAGCGTGGACCACTAAAGGGGTCTTGTTGAGGTTTCGTCACAGAAAAGGATGGCTTCCTCCGAAGTTTCGTGCAAGGGTTCTAGACTCGTTGCAAGCTCCGACACTTCCTTGCCCAGGGTGGGGTAGAGGATGTGTTGCAACAGCTCGTCGCGGCCTTTTGCGGTTTCGCGCGCACTTGTTGTGGTGCCGTGCGCATTTTTCGGACTTACTTATTGTTCTTTTCCTCGCAGGGGCGCTGTTTTGGATATCTTGGCAGGTCTCAGATTTCGTCTCCGCGGCACAGCGAACGACTTCGCTTCAGAAGCGGTCAAGACAACTTCAAGCAGGACTGTGCTAGAGCAGATTTAGTTGCAGGCGCTGGACATGAGTAGAGATCTCGTGACAGTTGCAGGCTTTGTTTGCTGATTTCGCGGCAGGTGCAACACTTGGTGGATCTCGGTAGGGCGCGGTGGCGTGTCGTAACAGGTGCTGAATTGACCTCGAAGTGCAGATTTTGTGAGGCGTTTTGAGGAGGATGTGCAGATATGTCAGGTTTCTTGGCTGCGACATTTTGTGGACCTAAACATGCAGAGTTCGCGCCCATCTCCCTCACCACATCAAGCTGGAAGTGCTACAGCACTTCAATTCCTCCACCCGCGCCGCCATCACCGCTAGTGCTCCACCACCGCCCATCGTTTGCCGGGGTAGACGATGGCAAGGTTTTCCGTGATACAAGGTTCCTTTCAGAATGATGCATTCATAGTTTGGCGATCTTCCCGTGCTCAGACCCAAGGAGAGATATTTAACCAGGAAAAATGTCGTCTTATTTGTCACACTGAGATGCCTAGGGCAGCAAGTTCACTCGCATGCAATTCTGATTGGCGCAATACATTTGACAGCCAATCCGACATCCTCCCTGCCTTTGAGGACGGATATTCAGCTTTATGAAACCAACGTATTGTTGGATGCGATGCATCAAATCTTGCGTGAGGAACGATTGAAGCACAAGAGCTTGAGTTGCATTTTGGCAGGTGACTTCAATGTCCCGCCCTTCTTTCCAGAGAGTGCCTTTGAGCGGCTCAGCCATCAAATCAAAAACCCCGCTGAGACTTGGTCGATGCCGGAGATTGAAGACATCTCACTTCCGAGTCCTGTTTATGAATTGCTGACAAGGGGGAATTTGAGCGCCGAATCGATTGGATTCCTCATGACAGCGATCAAGGCATCCGGCTTCCATCCGTCCAAGCTGCTGCAAGGCGGGACACAAGGGAAGGACCGAACCATTTGGGGCCTCGTGATCGGTAGAAGCAGTTTGGTGCTAAGAGTACCATGTCCGAATGGTCAGTTTCCAGCTTCCAAACTCTGCCCCTGGAATCCAGGCTCGATCTACGAGATGTTGGTCCTGGACCGATCACCCCATGTCTTTGTCAGTGCATACTCGGACGTGATTGGAACGGAGCCCATGACGCATGAAGGGGGCACGTTAGACTTTGTTTTCTATATGCCGGAGCAGCGCCGCTCTGACCATTCTCGTCCTGCAAGATTGTCAGTCCTAGGCGCAGCCATCAAGGGGTTCCGCCATTATCGTTTCTTGATGTGTCTTGTTTTTTTTGCTTCCATCAACTAAGACAAACTTGGTGGCCAAGCATGGCCAAGCAAGATAAGCAAGTGGCTCGCCCTGTGAGGTGTCCTTGCTCCACCGGGGCAAGTGAAGAGAACTTCCTTGGTGAGCAGTTTGGGTTCTGACCATTTGCCCCTGGTAGCTGACTTCGGAGTCATTACTCCCGTCCAAAGGGCTGAGGTTCGCCCAGAACCAGCAAAAGTCCCCAGCGGCAGAAACACCACCGGGTGCGACTCCACGGAATTGCTAGAAGCAATCCAGCGTTTGGAATCCATTTTTTCACAAAAAGCCTCAAACTTGACACACCTTTCTGAGCAGCAGCTGGAGCTTTCTGAGCGGTACCGGCTTCTTCGGCTTGGCTTGTTTGCTTCAACCTGTACCTCCATAGTCTTTGCCGCAACTGCCTTGCTTCTTGTTTTGAAGAAGTCTAGCTAACAATAACGGCTGGAGGGAATCAGACATAGCTGAGTGAGTGAGGACTTTCACTCCTCCTCACCTCCACTGAGGTTTCATCTTCTCTTTCCGAAAGCCTTGTGGACGAAAGTGACAGCCAGCTCATTGATACTCTTCATCATGATTCAAGGGTTCTTGCTCGCAGAAGTGCGACACCTGTAGCTCGAGCCACGACCATGCGCCCATGTCCGATTGGATCGGCAGCATGTCGGAGAGGCTCGGCCATGAAAAAACAAGCGGTGTTGGTCCGAAAGCTCTGCAAAGTTGAGAGAGCTCCGATGTGGGAACTGCAGAATTATCATTGATCTTTTGTTTCTGCAGTACATCTCATCTCCAGAAAGTTTTTGCTCAAACATCAGATTGCACAGCAGGCCTGCATACCGCAACTGCAAGAGTGCACCCACGGAAGAAGACCTGCAGCATCCAGTCCTACATAATAGTCCTACTGTCTCAGTCCATGTCATCCGAGCCAATCATGTGACCATTGGATCTCCATGCGTTTCTGAAACGTCTCCATGCATGCCACCTATCTCCCGTCTGCATGGACGGAGTTCGGGATTTCTTGAACCAATGGAGTGGCTTAGACGGAAATGTGTGTGTATCTTATTTGATGCAGCCCCTGGCCCAATGGGTATGTTTGGTCTATTCCCTTCTTCCCAACGGTCGGAGTTTGTGGGAGGTCCCTCTACTCTATTCATCTCTGTTAATACACACCCCAATCTTTGAAACTGTGGCTTTAGCACAGCTTTAGCTTTGGTCGCTCTATGAATGTAGCTTTTGCGTTCTGTGGCAGCAGAAGGTGAGTATTTGAGCAGCAGTCCGTTGAAGACGGACTCTCATTTGAATGATGCGAGCAACGAGTGGCGCGGCATCACTTGTTTAGAGCAATGTTGGCCACCTTGTATACTTTTGAGCGTGCAGTTTCGGGTTTCAGGGTCGGATTTGAAGCTTGTAGTTTTTGGAAAGTTCTTATTTCTGAGGTACAGTGAGGAAGAGCTCAACATTGCGACGGAGAGCTTTGACAAGAAATGTTTGCTTGGTTCAGGCTCCTTCGGGCAAGTGCCACTGGGCCGCTTTGATCATCGACTGTTCAGATGGCCAGAACCCAATTGTCAGTAGTGGATGGCCAGAACTTTCATCCCAGCTCTATCGATCCTGGGTGTAGCATGACGTCCCTCCTCCCCTTGAAGTGAAGTACGTTCCACTTTCATCCTAAGGTGCAAAGGTATACAAAGGTACCAATCCCAAATTGAAGACTGGCAAAGGCTCCAAGGCCTAGATGGCCAAGAGCCAACACCCAAACACACACCAAAACCCAGGTACAAAGGTACTATGAAGGATGGTACTGAAGTCGCCATCAAGGTGCGCGACCGAACGGATGCGATGCAACGATGATATCGACGAACGATCGATCGACCAAATTCCGTGACCGGTGAGGTCTTGCAGGTGCCAAACGAAGGCGGCTTCGAAGAGGAGGTGAGCTGGTTGTGTTTCGAATCGGACGTAAGTTTGGGGACCGAACTGTGGTATGGCAGGTGAGAGTCCTTTCGCGCTTTCGCCATCCCAATTTGGTGATCCTCATGGGCTTCGCCAGGTGATGCGGGAGTGCACTTGAAGGGGATGAAGAAGAGGGTGGAACGACAACACAACTATAACTATATAATTAGGGTCTGTCCGTTCTTACCTGTAACAGTCAGTAAACAAGGCCTTATCATCATTTTTGAACAAAGGCCTGCAACTGAACCATCATCATCCACTGTTACAGGCAATAGGATAGACCCAATATATTATCAGATTGATTTGCAGGCATGCTGAGACGGGGTGGAGGAGCTTGATATATGAGAAGCTTGGCAAAGATGGGAGCGCGAGAGGAAAGTTGCTGCTGCAAGATGATTCTTTTCCAAAGTCCCATACTATTTTCTTTTCGAGGTTCTTGTCTGGTGGAGATGTGGCGAAGCGAATTGCTGGAAGCCCCCACCTCAGTTGCCAGTCTTTTGGGTCTTTTGCCAAGTGCTCTTCCCAAGATGTATGTTTTTTTATTTTTTTTCAGAAGGCCCTTTGTCTTCGTTTTTTCTACTCAGAAGTTCCAATCCCTGTGATCTTCCTGAAAAACCTCTGTTGAGCTCTATACGCTCCGCTGGAGGCCGCCAGAAGAAAGAGCCCTTTAGCGGCCAGCTGCGGGTGAGCGTGGCTTTGGATGCGGCCTGCGGGTTGTCGCACTTGCACAACATGACACCCAGGACAGTCCTTTTTGCTTGTGCGTGCATCAGTGCTCAGTGACCCCAAGAAGATGTATGCTAGGAGTTTTTGAAGAGCTTATCGGATTATCGGAAGATATTGGACGTGGATTTTCATGGGCCATGAGATCTTGTAGCCCGAGTTGACACTTTTTCATTGTTTCTGCCACCAGTGCAGGGCTTTCCATCGAGATATCAAGTCCCAGAATATCCTGCACCTGGACGGCAAAGGGTGGATTCAATCCATCTCGCCCCGCAGATGTCAAGCCCCGTCTAAAATGAGCATGAACTGCTGTGGGGTTGCACTATGGGGATTGATGTATGTGAGTGGATAGGATCATCTTAAAGGACATCGTTGACCCGCAAGACACAAGGGTCTTTAGGATCACTTCGTCCTTGCGCATCCTTCAAGAGACGGATCCGAAGTCGCTTCCACTTCGGATCGGCAAGACAAGGCTGGACAAGTACGGTACAGCGAAGATGGCGGACTTTGGACTCTCGGTGGAGGGCATCACTCGCAGTGGACGACCCGAGAGACGGGTTGGAGCGAACGACCGGTCCGTTCTCAGGTCGGTGCCATGAACCCAGAGCCATGGCCATATGGCATATGGGTGTGGATGAAAATAGGGAGACCTCCCCACCACTCCCTGGAAGAAGGAGCATGGCCCAAAAGCCAGAGGTTGGGTGAGGTTCTGCGACTGCTCAAACTCTGTGACAAATTGGCCAATGATCCAAAACTGTAGGCTTTGTCCTGTTTAAGTTTAAGCATCAACGCCGAAGCTAAGGACTCCGAAATTAGACTATCCGAAAAAAAAAAGAGAAAAAAACACACACACACAAACACATATCCAGCTACAGATTCGATGTATCCTGTTGAGTTGTACATGCCAAGATTTTCACCAAGGATTGGCTTGTTTGTCAAGCTGCTTGACTGTATGAGTGGCACCATTTTGGCCGTTTTTACCTGTCAGCCACTGTCAGCTGTCCGACCTGTCAGCCACTCTCGGCAGGTGCACCACATCACAAAGTCCGCAGGGTTGGGGGCACAGTGGGCTACGCATGCCCCGAGTACCTCCGCAGCTTGATCGCATTTCGTCTCAAGGTTTCCGTAGATCAAGATAACGATTTGCTCGAACAAAAGGGTTTGTGTCGTCCAAATCTTCCAACACAAGTCCTTTCCAATCGGAAGGTGCTCACCAGTTGCTTTCTTCTCGGTGGAATTGGTTTTTTGGTAAAGCCTTCGGACTTGCCCTGCCAGAGCTGTCTTGGGCAATTCCAAATCGACCGGTGCTGACCTCGACCGGATCATCGTTGGAGGGTTCGCCAGGAGGTTCGCTTTGTGCCGGGCCAGGTCCTTAGGTTGTTTGTGTTTCAGGTTCTCTATCAGCAGCCCATGCAGGTTTGACACTGGGACACTGGCAGTCTTAGACTATGAAAGACGACCTCGGTCCGTTTTCGGGCCGAGAATCGAGCCACGAAGAAGAAATGACTTGAAGGGCCACGCCCCAATTTTCGAGCCATGCGAGCCGGAGTGATGGATATGGGAGGATTTGGCGGGAGGATTTTGGCATCGACATCGACATCACCAAGACTCCAAACGGCCATTTTCATCACATCAGACGGACCCAGTAGTCATCCATTCCGAAAACGAGCGGAGTCATCCTTTCTTCTTTTGAGGTGCGGACGGGTTTGCACCGATGTTCAGAAGACTTGCTGGGATTTGTCTCGCAAAGACCGAACAGGAGGTTTTCAAGATTTTCCAAGGCATTTTTTCTTCAAACCATCCAGCCTCATCCAGCCTTGTTTCCTTCAAACTGGATTTGATGCACTCGGATTTTTCACGCTTCCGTGGTGCCCATCCCTTGTCCTCCAAGGTACGGGGGTCATCTCCGAAGGTAGCGAGGCGCGCTGCATGGAGCGCGGGGGATTTGGAGTTGTTGATCGGATTGGTCCATTTCTCATCTTCGTTCGGTTCTTCGTTCGATGCTCTTATTCGTACGATAAGCCAGTTTCCGGGTTTGACATTGTCGGTGCGGTCTGGACTGTTGGTTTGACTTCTTCCCTCATGTGACGGAGGTGTACAGTTTTGGAATCCTCCTCTTGGAGTTGCTCACTGGTGTTCCTCCGGCAGTCTGTTGCGCAGACCGTCCAGGGGAATACAAGTTCCTAGTTCGGCCCTGATGAGGGATGCTTCTTCATCCTTTGGTTGAGATTCGTGCCAAGGTCGATTTTTTGCAAGGCAGCCACTTGGATGCAGTTCCAAACAGGTTCGGGTGCTTCGATGATACGCCAACAAAACCAAACGCCAATATGCAGTTTTTCGTGTTTTTTCTCGTTTGGTCGAGGCCAGGAGAAGGTCCAGCAAATGCTCGACCCGACTGCTGGATTCTCGACCAAAGTCTTCGAGGTGCTAAAAACATGCTTCTCGGGTTGTCGGAGGTGGTCGACGCCACCGGCTTCCAAAACGGTGCTTCGTGTACTGTGAAACATAGAGAAGACCAAAGGAATTGTCAAAGGAATTGAGGCCATCGCTAGTAGGTTGGAGGTCATCGCAAGTACTCGTAGGTTGGTCAAAGGAATTGCTTTTCTCTTTCGTGAAGTGAAGCAGCTGAGAGAAGTGAAGGTGCTTTGCTCAATTGCTTTTCGCTGCATCAATTCCCGTGCCTGGACCCAGCTGTTTCACAAAGTGGCCGAAACGAGTCCCGCGCCGTGAAACTGAAACAAGCGGCCGAGGTTGCCGGCCACTTTTTAAGCAGCTGGTGGAGGAGTCAGACTTTTCACAAGCGCCTCGTGTGCCTGTCCAAAGCCGCAGAGGAGCTTCGCCACCTGCACTCAGATGCTCCTGATGTACCTAGAGCTGCTGAAACTTCAGCAACTTAGAGGAATCGTCGGAATCGCGGTCATGTCAACTTTGTAGCACTTCTTCGAAATTCAGGCAGCCTCTCAAGCCTCAGTTGGGCAATGGCAGCTCAGCTTTCATTTGCTGCTTTCTATTTTAGCTTGCCACCTAGTGCTGCTGTGCACGACCAAGGTCTTCTTCAGCATTGTGCGTGGGTGCTGCTGTTGAGGCAGCGCACTGGACGGGGGATGGCTGCACAAGCCTGAGCAAAGCCAGTGCAGCTGACGAGTATGGTTGTGCAGGTGAGGTGGCGTGGAGGAAATCAGTGGTACCAAGGCCCTTCACTCAGACTCCAAATGAGCAACCGCCAAACAGAATCGTTAATTTTGGGAATTTGGCTAACACCTGCAAAAGCGATTGGCCCCCCCTCAAAAGCGATCACCTTGCTGAATCATGTCTTTTACTTGACAGCCTGCTAAACCACTGTTTTGTGCAATCATCCTGCAGGCTGGATCCTTCGCCAAAACCCTGACAGCACTGCCGCTGTGAAGTACAATGATGGTGAGTTTCTGAGAGCGGCAGATGCCGCAGTCAGTCATCGCTGTCAGTGATGACAGCCTTGCCGAGGCCAACTTGAAGATCATGTGCCATTGTCTTTCTTGCGACTGCCCGGAAGTCAAGTTTCTCCGTGTCTTGGTGGAGAACGGCTTAAATTCAACTCCTTTTTTTTGCACCGAAGAAGCCTCTTTCAAGGTCTCCGCCTTCACATCCAACTGCTGCATCCAGTGTTTGCGTCTGAGCGAACCTCTCTTCAGGTCTTAGCTCGTTGCGTTGCTCGTTTGCCTGTTGAGGTCGCAGAGCTTCCGCAGTGTCAGCTGAAGTGTGTGTGACTTGCCCCAAAAATACGGAAGCCATTTCTGTGAAACGGCGTTTTGATGGCTCGGCTCTTGTTTTGTTTTTTCTGCCTGAGGTATGCTGAGGGAGTCACCGACACCCGTACGCGGTCTGGGGACCCGAGTGGTGCTGAGACTGTCAAACAGACGTACGCGTTCAAAAGACGCCTCTTTCGCCACGGACAAGCTGGTGCTGGTGTTTTTTTCCGCCACTTCTTGGAGGTATCTCATCAAATCGGCACCAGGCAGCTCGGAGCTGTTGGTGGGGCGAACTGCACAGCTTCCCTCCTTCTGGGACTTCCTCGTCCCTGAGAGCCCTGGCTGTTCTCAGGGGAACGCTTTGCCACCACAGTTGTGCGTGATCTTGATCCTAGGAAAGAACTCCAAAGCAGGCTGGGTAGGGCAAGACTCGGGAGGCTACCTGTAGCTGAACTCAAGTGACAACTGGCAGAACTGTGGCCAGGGTTTCACGCAAGCATTTCAAGATCCTTTGCCGACAGCACCAGCTTGCTGATGGACAGAATCATCCGGTTTCCTTGGCTGCTTACGTGCAATGCAGACGCAACCGGGACTGCTGCATGCGTTGAAAGCCCTTCTGCTCAGGTATTGTTTCTGCAACTCCGATGCAAGGATGTGGTTTATTGCACGTTGCAAACAATCTGTGGGCAAATTGACACGTGTTATGAGTATATAAATGTTGACCTGTCAGCCAGACCTTATTTTTGTCCGGCTGAAGGCGCCTTCAAAAGCGCAGATTTCTGTTTGCTTAGGCAGTGTTTGTCTCCAAATGGACTAGTTCTGAATGACGAGTTTCTTGGGCCTGACGCTGGAGAGAAGCAGAGACTTTGGCAGAGTAAACCGCATGAATCCCACGCCTTGAAATCCCTTCGTAGCCCTAGGGCCCTAGCCTTAGGGGAAGTTTCAGAAGCTGATGGGCTTTCTCACGTTTCCTTCTTGAATAGTTTGTGATGATGGTGATGGCTGTTGCACAAGGATACAAGATGGGGATACCATCGCTTTAGCCAGCTGCAGATTGGATGCAGGGACTGAAGCATCTAGCCTGAAAAAGAATGCCAGCATATATTCTGCAAGCTTCACAGCTCTTGAGTCTTGAGGAGACTTTCTCATCAGCAGCTGGATGGGCTGTGCCGAAGCCATTTCTGGTCTTTGAGCTTGAGGATTGGATATGATTTGTGAACCCGTGGGCACTGCTTCAGAACAAGCGCAAGCCTGATGAGAGGTTCCGGACCCCAAGCGCAAGCACTCTGAGAATCAGCAGGTGTGGACGCATAGTTTGGTATCTTCATCGGGCAGAGAGAACTCGAGGTTTTCTACGGCCATTCCGAAGGAACAACATGGAACGACAAAAGAAAGATCAGACAAAATATGAAAAGAAACATAATAACAAAGAAGAAGGGTCGGACCATGCCGCGTAGGCTGCCTAGGTCTTCTGTGTGTCTTACATTGACCACGATGCAGGTGTTTCTGTTTTGATCGAGCGACCTAGGCGCTGTTGTCTTCGCGGCAGCAACCTCACGGAGAACCAGTGCAAAGATCCACAGGCACTGGGCCCATAACACCTAGGGACCTAGGTGAAGGGCCTGAGAACGGACACGAGGTCCGAAGGTGTCCAAGACAATCTGAAAGTCTTAAGTGGGCGGGTTGTTGTATTGATTTTGAGGTGACCTCATATCCATCGGACCAGTCTCGCAGGTGTTGAGGTCTTCAATTCAGCCTACTTGCCGTGGGATTCGGCGTCCCATGGCTGCAGAATGCCGACGGGGCTTCCCACTTCTTGATGTGGATCGAACATCAAGATTTGTTTTGATGTGGATTTCGGTGGATTGTTTCAGGCGGCTAGGACTTGGTGAGACAACCAAGGAGCTTTGTGTTACAAGTGGCACGGTCGCAAGTAATTTCACCTGCTGCCCGTTGCCTCTTTTTGTGGCGCTGCCAACCAAGGGCAGCGTGCGATGCGAGCCGCGCCTTGGCGTTCAATTTCGCCATTTTCACAGACATCTTTATCAGTCACCAACACACAGCAAATATCAGAAGCAACCGATGATGGGGTGAACCAGTGAATCGGAAGAGAGCCTCTCAAATCTCTTGCTGAATTTGTGGCATCGGAGCCACCCAGCTCTGAGGCCAATCCCCCAGTGCTTGAGATCGAGCTCATGACTCGTGACTGAAGATGCTAACGTTTGCCCAGAGGTAAGGATGCGACTAAAGACTCGGTCACAGCCTTGACAGACATCTCTGCGAACATCTGTTTACCAAACAGGTTTTCATCACTCCTCCTGTTCTGGGGTTCTGGGTCATGAGGTACCCGGCTTCTTTGGCAGCAGAGAGAGCAACCCTTCTGAGGGAGATGGTGATTTGGGGCTCCCCATTCCCCCAGAGGCAATATATATTGACATTGGTATTGGCTTTACGGATCCTTACCTTTGGTTACAGGACTGTAGGGTGTCGATTCCACATCATACATATTGTCCACAGACTAAAATGTATATATCAATAATATATAAATATATTCTACATATTACATATTGAAAAAAACCAATAATATAATATATATATAATATATAATCAATTTATATAAATTTTTGAAATAACCCCGCGCTTAGAAATTTAATATTGATACCTTGACATTATTAAAATATATCTATCCTATAGAAATCATACCCTCAACTACTAGGGTCTAGAATGGCTGACCCTCCAGGGTCTGATAGGCCAAGGTCTAAGATGGTCCCCGTAATCAAAGTAGACCTTTTTCGGCTATAAAGTAGACCTTTCAGAAGTTAGCTTGAAATATAGAGGGTATAAAATATGTTGCACTCCGAGAGAGAGCTGGTTCTGGAATCTTCAAAAAATTGATCAAGATGAAGAGAAGCGGTCATGGTTAAATAACAACAAATTGAAACTGGGTTGGAGGAGTACAGAGACGGAGGGGCCAATTTTGGATATAA